GTTTTAGCGCATCCTCTTGAGTAGTAGTGTGCCATTACCTTCTTCTTCTCCATCCTCACCTCATTTTTTCATCCTATTCTAAATTTGGATCATTTACTGCTACAGTGTGATCCATGGTCATCGTCAACGTTTAGGAAGCTTTCTAATCGATCAAAATCGTTCCAAACGTCTTTTTTATTTGGTTTTTACGATTCTCTTCCTTAGAGGTAATTTTTCGTTGGTTTTTATTGTTGCGTTTTGATGTTTTATTTTGATTGTAAAACTAATATTTATTTCTTGAGCTGCGTCTTCGCCCGCGTCTTGGCCAGCGTCCATATTAGGGTTCTTCAAATGGGGAAAGGGGAAACACTTTCTGCCTTCTTACTCCTGCGCCGTTGTTTGAGAGGATGGAGGTGGCGCAACTCTCGGCCATTGATGGCAGCTTAAGGAGTTTCGCATTGAAGCTCAATGGTTGTGCTTGCCAGGAAGAAAAGAACTTGTCCGCGTCAATGGAGGTAGGCACCATGAAAAGGATTTGCGATTTTTGAGTTTGGATTCTGCGATTTTTGAGTTTTTGGGTGAAGATGAATGATGGAGGCAACATTGTTTCTTCTCTGTGATTCTGTGTGCAGGTTGGGGTGGAGAAGATTGAATCATGGAGGCGCGATTTGCTTTCTGGTTGCATCAATTGAGGAGGACGAACTCGTCAAGAATCAATTGGGTTCTGGGTTGCTTTTATGGTGGTCCGATTGTGGAGCAGAAAGGGAAAGCATTCTGGGTTTTATCAAATTGGGTTTCTAAAATTGAGAAATCTTGGGTCTCTATTTTGATCTCAATTCTTCAACTACAAACCTAAAAATCACGAATTGAATCTTTAGGGAATGGGAATTAGAGGACAACCTCATATTTGAAAGCTTTTCAGATTTAGAAATCACAAAGGATGCCCAATCTGAAGGTTCGCAGAAGGAATGGGATGTTTCTTCGAATGAAATTGTAAAGGAAGAAGAGTGTGGCTAGATCTCCGGATCGTGTCCTGTTAAGGAGACTCTCATGCCAGAAATATTTGTGAAGCAAAAGAAGTGCCAAAACCATGTTTCAACAGTGAGACCAAAGGCTGTTGCTCTGATTTTGCTTCTTGCAGTTGCTTTTTTGTCGATCTCGGTCACAGATCCTACTATAATTTATCGAACTGTGTTTAAAGACCTCTATAGGGTTTATGAATCCTCTGAATTTTCAGTGTTTCCAAGAGATAAATTTGATCAACTCACCCAGTTTGCAAGTGTTTCCAAGAGATAAATTTGATCAACTCACCCAGTTTGCAGAAACAAATTTTGATGAGATGGCTCAAAATTTGCAAATTTGGTTACCAAGTTTGTCATATATTCATAATTTGACATTTCAGCAGGATCCATTCCTGGTGAATCAGTATCCTAAAGTCTGAAAAAATTAAAAAAACGTTACGACACTCGGTTTACTCTACAAACCGGTCAAGTAATCTTACCCCTTTTGCACTGCAGCTTTCATAACCGAGGCATAAAACCTACATTTTTACCCTTGTCTGTACCTACTGCCAGTCGGTATGCAGAGACCTGGTGGCACTATAGAGCAATAAATAATCGGTATTTATTTCCTCTATACTATTTTGTGACTTAGTGTCATTAAGTGTGGATACGATCTAACTGAGTGAACATGTTTGCAATATGCTTCCTCAGAATGTAATGGTTTCTTCAAGAAGTGGAGAAGAAGTCTTGAACTCTCTACAGCAAGACAATTGATATTAATTAGTGTATATGAATTCCAAATGTTGGAGAAAATCAAAATTCATTAAATTTAAATATTACCGTTTCTCAGTTTCTTGTGATATGGGCACGAATAATGTTGGGTCAAATGCCAATGCATATATCAGTAAGTGATCCGCACTATAGAAGATAGAGGGTTATCAAGTGATAGAGATGAAAGATGATGCAAAATGTCCACATCAGGTCTTGTGTGTGTGCCCAATGAGTGTCAATGCTATGAGCTACTCTGTGGTGCCCGCCTCTGGTCCGCATCCCGCAGCCCTGCTGTCGCGATTCTCCCCATGTGCATGCCCCATGACTGTTTTCCCATCTCTATATCTCATCATCTCCCTCGGTCCTATCATCTTCATCTTTATATCTATCCATCTGATATATATACAGTAAAAAATGTTGACTGGAAACTGGATGGTTGTGATTTTAACTTCGCCACCCTGTACTTCAAAAAACAACACCTATAGCTTCGTATGCTCGAGGTGGTTCAGACATACTATTAAGTCGATATCACTTTGACCCTCGCTTAGGTTATTACTACATGTCCAATCCATACAAATTTTAAATAACAATAACGACTAGCCTTATCCACTTCACGTTACCGGAGCCTCTGCTCCTACTATCATCAAGTCGCTCTGCTTCTAACCAATATTTTTATTACTCGTATAACTAACTAAATAACTAATTTATGGAACTTACTTAATAAATCCTTATTTTTCTACTATAACGTCTCTAGTTAACAACAACTCAAATATATATAAGTATTACTAAAGGATCCACTTGATCACTCGAGATTACCCTAACATTATATACAAATCTTTTAACCAATATAAAAATCTTTAATAAAAGTAATTTTCGGTTCCTTTAAGTTTTTTTAGCCAGCGGTATTATTTGGAAAGTAAATAATGTTTTCTTTATATCTTTTCTTATTAAATGCAGTTTATTTTCGGACACAATGGTTGGATCAATAGAACTCTGTTTGACTTATTAAAAGGGTTAGCCACATCTATTAAGTAAACACTGGCATAATGAAAAGTCTTTTGTCACCATAAGTTTAAAAATATGTTTAAACAACTTTATTATTCAGTTCTTAAACACTACAAGACAATTTTGGAGAATTATTTCTAAAATTATAATTACGAATATATTTTATAAATGAATTTATTTTGTTTGATAAAATCAGTGATAATATATATTTTATTTATTGACAAATTATTTTATTGGATAAATTTCGTCGATAAAATTTGTCGATAATTTAAAATGTTTACTTTCGAGACAAGATTTATTCGTTGATAAATCTATTGATAAAAGACTAATAATTTTTTTGCCCAAATATCGGAGGAGCTCAAAGTAAAACCCACAAATTTGGCTAGAGCCGGGCACTATGTGGCATTGTTTTGTTACAACCTTTGTTGGACAACATGGTGTCGGGCAGCGTCATCGTAACCAAAGAGAGGCATGCCGAGATAAACATACATTTATGCAATGAAATTGTTTGTTGTTTCCGTCGTTGTCCATCAGTCGAATGTCAAGCATCTGAATTAATAGTTGCCACAATTTCCATCCACACCCTTGATAATACGCAACAGACTATTCACCACACACACTCTGCCATTACCTGGGTCGCGATAATACCGACTATTCACCACCTCTGCCATTACCATGTCGCATAATCATGACTTTGAACGTCAATCGCCAATGCTACAAATGACAATATTTCTTCTTCAACTTCTATGTTATGGGTTTCTTCTTCCCCTTCCTTTGATATTTGTGATTTTTTATATTGGAATGAAGATGATAAAATTTATCGTTTTAATACTAGTGTAGTAAAGGGAAATGACAGCGATTTTTTTCGTCTATATGTAGCGGTTGATGAACCAAGGTATATACAAACGAGACAAAAGAGGTAGGTTGTTTGCTTCGGTTTTGAATCGAGGAAAAAAGGAGTAGGTTTTTGCCTTGGTTCAAATGCCATCGAGGCGGTAGAGGGTATTTAATATAATTGTTTTTCCTGCAAGGTTTATTGTCTTGGTTCCTTTGAATTGTGGCAGTATGGTGTATTCTTTTTCGTCAGACTTTATTGTTTATTTCTCTTTAAGCAATTTGGATAACAGAGCTTTCATTTCCCTACATATTTTTCATCTTTTTCTTATAGAACATCACTTATTAGGTTCAAGAAGATGTTCTAGCAGTAGTAGATGGATATGATGATACTCTTTGAAGAACTTCAGTTTCCGATGCCTACAAAATAACACAAGTAAAAGTAAGAACATAAAACCAATTGCAGTCAAGAAAAAAGAACAAAAAGAATGTACAAAACAATGAACATCAAAATGAAAGCAAGCTCAAAACTTTAGGAACTCCATTGCCCATGGAACACAACCTGGCCTTGAGATCCTTATAGTGTATCAAAACCACAGCTTCCACATACACTTCCATGTCGTCGTAGTCATTGATCTCCACCGAGTGCTACACCACACCCTCGTAGCGAAGCTTCTCCATGAAGAATCGACTCTTCTCGACTAGAGCACTCTTTCGGATCTCCATTGACACCCTCAGATCGTCCCGCCCTACCATGAGCCGGACGTCATCACCCTTGAGCAAGGCAAGCTCCCAGAGAAGCTTGGAGAGTCGATCTTGCGCCTTACGACGCTTGTCTTCGAAAAATTTGTGGTCCTCCGACATCATATTGAAGAGGGTTTGTGTGTGTCGGTGAGTTTGAAGTAGATCGCGATATTTACTAACAAATTTGTTTTTTCAGTAATTACCAACAGATTCTTCATTCGAAATTACTAACGAATTATTTCTTCTATATTTATCGAAAGTCATAAGTAATTACTGACTATTTTTCCTTCGATAATTACTGATAAATACAAATTTATTAGCAAATATTATCGAATACAATTTACTGACAGATTTCGACTCATCGAAAATCTATGGAAAAAATTGTTAATAATTATTTTTTAACGTTTTCAACAAATTTTGACAATTAGTAATACCTGTATTTTATTTTATGTAAGTAAATTTTAAACCTTAAACTCTCTCAACGGGTAGGATATAGCCTACAACTTCTATAATTAGATTAAAACATCCGTATAGTCTATAATTTTCATAATTAGATTAAAACACTGAGAAAGAGAAAGTAACATAGATAAATCCAAATAAATCAATAATAATCTTGATAGAAAATAATTGAGATATAAATATATTAAACGAAGAAGCCAAAATCCATATGGTGAATTTAGATGTAGTCAATTTTTCTTGACCATTGAACAGAAAGAGAACAAATGTGTGTATTCAAGATATAACGCAAGCATGCACACTATTCTTTATAATTAGGCCTCAGTCTTTGTCACTTCTTCTGCTTTTGGCTTCTCTTCTTCAACCTTCACCACGCCACTTTGAGCTTCTTCTGCCTTTGCTTCAGCCTTTACTTCCTCTGTCTTCAGTGCCTCTTCTACTTTCTGCCAATACAACCTCACAATTATTAATAGGCTAAATTACCAGCTTCCTATTTTAATATATATCAACTGTAGTTAATTTCGTTCTTTAAATAATAAATGTGATTGAAATTTGAAGAAAAAAAAATGTGATACCTCATCAAGCAAGTTTCTTAGAGACTTATTCTCTGCATCAGTTAGGGTTTCCTCAGTCTTGGTCTCAATATTTGCTTCACTCTCCTTATGTTCAACCTCAACCTCTTCGGTCACAGGCTCTGGAATGTCCGAAGGACCTTCATTGGTCTTTGGATTGCTACCACAGTTTCCCATGTTCAATATTTGGTCGGGAGAATGAACCAAATTTTAGGGTTTAGGGAGACTAAATCAAGTTTACTTGATCGTCCTCCCTCTAAATACAGGCTTTAAGAAAGGTTAAAGGATTGTTATTATTGCTATTGGGTAATGCTTCATCAAAAGGGTTTATAAAGGCTCATTTTCTTCTTTCTTTTGGATTTGGTGATTGGCTCGCAAAATTTTGAGGAGACCAATGCCTCCTATTGCTTTAAGTTCCCACGCTTAAGGGTTAATATTTAGCAAATGGTTAATTGTGTAAACTTTGCAAATACATCAAATCGAAAACCACGGGCCACGATTGTAGTAAAAATCCTAAAATAACCACGTCTTTTTCACAATCACATAGAAAGAAACATAGTATGCGGTTTTTGGGTCCTTTTCTAACTTTCTATGTACGTAATGTCTATTAATAACTACTATAATACTCTTCATTTTATTTTATTTATTTTATATTATTCGATCATTTTATTTACACACCCTTATTCACCAACACAAGCAGCTCTGGCTTTTCATTTTTACAAGGGTTAAATCCTGTATTGTCTTGGTAAAACTCCTGGTATATTGCAAAGCAGTGTTGGCCACATGATGAACTAGTCAACAAAATTCTGATTCTTCAAATTAAAGGTTAATTTGTGGTTATAAATCTTCTATTAATTTGATTTTTTATTTTAATCATTAGTTTAAAAATGTGTCTATGTTGAAGCAATGTTTAGTGTAGGTTATACAATTATAGATATTTTATGGGAACATCGTAAGATATGCATAACACCACTCTCTTGTAGGAAACAATTTTACCTTAATTTGTTGAGGCAAGTCACAGAACGATGCTAGCAAAATATTAGCTGATATTTTTTTGGTATATATCTGTTCTGTTGTTTTTTTTTTTTGTGAAATTTTGATGTTAATTCCACTGAAAGAAATAGACTCTCACATTTTTATCCAATACAAAAATTATAAAAGGGATATATTGAAAATATTCTAATCGAAATAAACATCAAGTACATTTTTTTAAGAAACGATAANACAAAATTCTGATTCTTCAAATTAAAGGTTAATTTGAGGTTATAAATCTTCTATTAATTTGATTTTTTATTTTAATCATTAGTTTAAAAATGTGTCTATGTTGAAGCAATGTTTAGTGTAGGTTATACAATTATAGATATTTTATGGGAACATCGTAAGATATGCATAACACCACTCTCTTGTAGGAAACAATTTTACCTTAATTTGTTGAGGCAAGTCACAGAACGATGCTAGCAAAATATTAGCTGATATTTTTTTGGTATATATCTGTTCTGTTGTTTTTTTTTTTTGTGAAATTTTGATGTTAATTCCACTGAAAGAAATAGACTCTCACATTTTTATCCAATACAAAAATTATAAAAGGGATATATTGAAAATATTCTAATCGAAATAAACATCAAGTACATTTTTTTAAGAAACGATAAAATATATCTCATGATGAAAAGACATGTGTCTAGAGACAAGTTAAAACTCTTTTAGGCTTTAGTCTAAATTTGTTGAAGTGAAGTTAAATTTATGTTTGTAATGTTCATTGTTTTCTTTTTAAATTTTTAGATTATTTATTAAAGTTTTACATTTAAGTATTTATTATAATATTTATTAATCAACAAAACGATTTATTTGTTCATTGCATTTAAGTGCACGATGGATCTCAGCTAAAACTTAAGTAATTTTAATTTTCGAGAAATATATCTAAAATCAATATCTATACTAATCTATAATCCATCTATAATATATACAAATCCTCATTTTTTTTCTCCTAAACCTAAGTAATTAATACTAATTAGGTTCTTTCGCACCTTGAATTAATATATAAGCAACGATCCATTCACTGTATTCATATTGTTATATAAATAATTAATTAATACTCCAATAGAATGACTGAAACATTTCTTTTTCAAAATGATCGGTTCACTTTTTCATTCAATTAATAGAAAACAAAACTGCATTTCTTACTATTATGCATTAATATATAGAAACTTGATTGGTGAATTACGCCCATAAAAAATTGGTAACTTCATGTAAATACATCTAGTATTCTTTTTTATTCTTCTGTATCAATGTGTTTTAATGTCATTCGAGATATTCCTATTAAATTAGTTAACTAATATTGCAATAAAATAAAAGGAACTTTGCCTTTTTCGCATAGGGAATTGCACACCTTTCTCTGGCAATTAATGAAAGTGCATTGTGCCCATAAACTATACTTTTTGTTTGAATTGTTAAGAAAAAACCACTTGTATTATAGCCCTTTAGTTTTTCCTATTAATGGCCATGCATCTGAGTGTTCTTGAGAGATAAAATACGCTTCTACTAAAGTTTTGGTTTGTGATTCTGCATTAGTTTTTGCTTGAACGTTTGGTATAGAGACATATTGCTTCAGTTTTGCCATCACCCTAACGAGCATCTTCATCAGCTTATGTTGTTACCATAGCTTTGCCAGCACTTTCTGCAGAAGACTAGCATCTTAACCTCCTAGCGAGTGGTTTCATCTTGACAGTGGCAGGCACTTGGACTTTCAAGGTTTCAAATGACATGGTTTGAATAAAAAAGAAAGGACCTTGAAGTGTTATAAACATGAATCATATTGTAGAACACACTAGAATAGAACACATTTAAGTCTATTTTAAAAGATTTATCTCAAATCTAATTTATATTTTTGCATTTTATGTCTAA